CCACAGGCCCCCGCCACAACGCCCGGCCATTTTTTGGTTGCAGCCATCATTGTTGTTTGGCGGGCCTGGGCTGGGGATTCGAACCTACCACCTCAGGTGTACGTGGCTGGCGCCTTAGTCGTTTGAGCCACAGGTGCCGAGCCTCTAGTTCTATGTTCTAACCAACATTTGGTTAGGGTTTTAAATTTTAGCCATTCTGTTTTTTTCTTTTTTTCCTTGAGACAGAGTCTCACTATGTCACCCTTTGTGGAGCACTGTGACATTACAGGTCACAGCAACTTCTAACTGTTGGGCTTAAGCGATTCTCTTGCCTCAGCCTCCCAAGTAGCTGGGACTACAGGCACCCACCACAACACCCAGCTATTTTTTTGTTGTCATTGTTGTTGTAGTTGTCATCATTGTTTAGCTGGCCTGGGCTGGGTTTGAATCTGCCAACCCCAGTGTATGTGGCGGCAGGGTAACCACTGTGCTATGGGTGCCGAGCCAAATTTTAGCCATTCTGGTAGGTGTACAGTGTTCTTTAATCATGGTTTTAATTTTCATTTTCCTGTTTTTTAATAAATTGAGCATACTTCCTGGTAGGCCTATTCTACTGTCTCTGCTTATTTCCATAGGGTTAGAGCCGTTCAGATAGATGAAGTATAATTATAATATGAAGTAATAATTCCTCAGTCTTTTGTTCAAATATTCTAGGAACACTGCAGGTAGAAACATTCAATTACAAAGTGATTTCTCCATTTTGGAAGTTTTGATTCAAGTGGCCCATCTAATCCTTTGTCAACACTTAATTATTCGCCATCTTCTAGCTTCCCTTATAACTAAGGACTAATCATTTTTAACAGTCAAATCTTGTAATGAGAATGACCCTTCGCCTCTGACCTCCCCCCCATGATACTGGCCTACACTAAACATCTTTTCCTACTCTCATGTATCTTAACAAATTTCTTGATTTTTATTATTTTGAAAGTGGGCAACTATAATTTAAAAACCTCTATCTAGTCACTTTCTCCTTCAATTAGTCCAAAATACTCTTGCCAAAATCTCAAAACTAAATTCATACCTTCCTTTTCTTAAAATCTTCCCCCAGGCTCGGCGCCCATAGCACAGTAGTTATGGCGTCAGCCCCATACTCCAAGGCTGGTGGGTTCGAATCCAGCCTGGGCAGCTAAACAATAATGACAATTGCATCAGAAAAATAGATGGGCATTGTGGCAGGCACCTGTAGTCCCCACTACTTTCGAAGTTGAGGCTAGAGAATGGCTTAAGCCCAAGAGTTTGAGGTTGCTGTGAGCTGTGACACCACCGCACTCTACCGAGGGTGACAAAGTGAGCAGTGTCTCACGCCTGTAATCCTAGCACTCTGGGAGGCCAAGGCAGGTGGATTGTCTGAGCTCACAGGTTTGAGACCAGCCTGAGTCACAGGGAGACCCCATCTCTAAAAATAGCCAGGTGTTGTGGCAGGTGCCTTTAGTCCCAGCTACTTGGGAGGCTGAGGCAAGAGAACTGCTTAAGCCCAAGAGTTTGAGTTTGTTGTGAGCTATGATGCCATAGCACTCTACTGAGGGCTACAAAGTGAGACTCTGTCTGAAAAGAGAAGACTCATTATATGTGTGTGTGTGTGTGTGT